TTTTGAGAGAGAGAAAGAGAGAGAGAGAACGGGCGGGCACAAGTGGGGGAGGGGCAGAGAGAGATGGTGACACAGAATCCAAAGGAAACTCCAGGCTCCGAGCTGCCAGTACAGAGCCCAGCAGGGGGCTTGAACTCCCAAACTGTGAGCTCATGACCTGAGCCACTCAGGTGCCTCTGCAAGTTAAATTCTTTGTTGAGATATTCAACATATTCTACAAACCAAATCCGACTTGCATTTTCAATTTCTTAAGGTATTGTCTCTATTTTAGACCGATTTCCTTCAGCCACATTGGTCTGTGCTTGCCCTCCGGCTCTCCCATTTCCCTCCTTCATCCTTCATTTCATGATACTCTTCTCCCTTTTCTGTGTTACTCCCAGGCTTTCTAGTCCGAAGTAAAACCTCAGCCTCCACTTGTGAAGACAGTCCCAGTCCCAGGGATTCATTCCTTCTTTGGATTTCTTTAAGCTCAAGCAAAGAGTCTCATGGTGAAAGACCCTGGAAGCTCTTCTCTTAGTGCCAAGCATTAGAAAAAGAAGAGACCAGAAATTCATGGCAGAGTAGTAATATTAATGGTAAATTCAGAATAAATATAAATTTATTTATTTTTTTTTAATGTTTTATTTATTTCTAGGAGAGAGAGAGAGACAGCGTGAGGAGGGGAGGGTCAGAGAAAGAGGGAGATACAGACTCTGAAATAGGCTCCAGGCTCTGAGCTGGCAGTCAGCACAGAGCCCAACGTGGGGCTCGAACCCACGAACCGCGAGATCATGACCTAAGCGAAAGTCGGACGCTTAACCGACTAAGCCACCCCGGCGCCCCTAAATATAAATTTATTGACTTAAGAAATCATATGATTACTATATAAGGGTGAAGTCAGATGATGATCTGCAAGAACCCTTCTTTATTTTTTTTTTAAATGTTTTATTTCTAGGAGAGAGAGAGAGACAGCGTGAGGAGGGGAGGGTCAGAGAGAGAGGGAGTGACAGACTCTGAAATAGGCTCCAGGCTCTGAGCTGGCAGTCAGCACAGAGCCCTACGCGGGGCTCGAACCCACGAACCGCGAGATCATGACCTAAGCGAAAGTCGGACGCTTAACCGACTAAGCCACCCAGATGCCCCTGCAAGAACCCTTCTGTCCTATGCAGGTGTTTACTACAGTTTGCCTTTCTTCTACAACATTAAAAAAGTACACACTAATTGTTAGGTGCCTTTTCTTTTTAAGTGTTTTTTTTTTTTTTCCCGCCCCCATCTGGCATACATTCTGCATGATGGGAAGATTCTGGAGGGTCTCTGTGGCTTATTTTTAAAGTTCTTTCAAACCCTTAATGCATAGCCTTTCTCCGAAAGGCCGAAGAATGGGTGAGCAGATCAGCCATATGAATACCTTCATCTGTTTAAGGAAAAGGAAATTACAAACGTTAGGTGAACTTGTTTTCCCGCCTCCACACAGGTGTTCAGCATTCACCAACAAAGTCCCCCCACCTTGAATCTCTTGTGACACCAAAGCTCTTCTGCTTCTCGAAGACAATGGGCCCTTACTCAACACTGTTCTCATCCAACTTAAAACCAAACTAGCTGGCTGATGGGTCCTTTGGTGTGGCTGGACGGGCTTCTCTTTACCTTTCCTTCTGCCACATCCTCCCCTTCCCAGAGTTCATTGCAAAGATGTCTGGTTGCTTTAAGAGAAAGAGTAGCCTTCACTCACTCAGTCACCAAATACTTATTCTGACCTGTTACGCCTGTTGTGCACAATGCAAGAGATAGGATGGTGATAAATAAGATAAGCAAGGTCTCTGCTCACCTTACACTGACATTCTGGTGGGGAAAATAGACACATTAAAAAATTAGCCTTAAAGTAAACACAGCAAATTATGGAAAGGGCGTGACCTGAAGCAGAGTACTGATACAGAGATATGATGGGGAGGTGGGAAGTGTAAGCAAGGTGGGAAGTGTGTAAGGCAAGAGTATGTGCTCATTTCAGACAGAGTCAGGGCAGGCCTCCCTTATATAAGAGCCATTAAGCTGAGGTCTGAAGGATAAGAGGAAAATAGATTCCAGGTTGGAGGTCATAGCTTATCCGAGGTCTTGGCAGGAAGGAGCTTCCAGTGTGGTTATAACACTGTGAGGAGGGCTGAGTGGTATACGGTGATGTTGGGAGCAAAGCAGGGCCAGATCACACAGGTCTTACAGGCTGGGAGAAGGAGGTTGGATTGTAATCTCAGAACCGTAGGAGTAGGGTTCCCAGATAAAATGAAGAACACTCAGTGAATTTGAATTTCAGATAAATAACAAATGACTTTTGAGCTTAAGTATGTTCCAAATATCGCATGTGACATGCTTATACTAAAAATGTATTCATTGTTTATTTGAATTTCAAATTCAGCTTGGCATCCTGTTCTCCGTTTTGCTTTTTACTAAGTCTGACGATCCTAATTGAGAAGCCATTGAAAGGTTTTCAGTAGACAAGTGATGGGATCCAATTTGTATCTTAAGATCCTTTTGGCTGTTGTTTCTTGGAGAATGGTTTAGAGAGTGGCAAGAATTAAGTGGAGATAAAGTTCAGGGAGACTAGTTAGGCTACCACAGCCTCCCAGAGGAGGATAGTAGTGATCTGGCTCTAAATGACTGGTGCTTCTCAAACTTTAATGTGCAAAGGAACCATCAAAGGATGGTTAGGTGCCTTTGGGGTAGGATCGGGGGTGGGATCTCAGGTACTGCATTTCTAATCAGTTTGCAGGTGGTGCTGACCTTGCTGGTTCCTAGACCAAAGGTCAGAAACTATGGCCCATCTGCCAAATTTGGCCTGCTGCCTCATTTGTAAATAAAGTTTTATTGAAACAGCCATGTCCATTGGTTTCTATTTTACCTATGGCTGCTTGCCAGTTTCATGCTATGATTGCATGAGTTAAGTAGTTGTAACAGAGAGTGTATAGCCCACAAAATCTAAAAGCGTTTACAGCCTGACTTTTCCCTACAAAGTTCACTAACTCCTGCCCTAGACCACACTACTTTTGTCCTATTGCAAGAGTCTATACTCGGGTGATTCCCATGAAGACGGAGAGCAGTGGGCAGATTTAAGATACATTTGAGAGCACTGCGCATGGTCTACACTGGTTCATTAAGCACTCCCTTCTTCTGATGTGAGCCTAGATACCCTGAACTGCACAAAGACGTGTAATCTTTAAACCTAAACTGTCATGACAGTTGAGAACTTGGCTAATCAATGTTGACTCATCTTAGAAATATTTACCCAGTGCGTTCTGAGCCCAAAGGATTCTACTCGGCATACATTTAAACATATATAGAATCCATCCATGCACACGTAAATGCAAGTGTAAAGATACCACAAAATAGCACCTGGTAACCTGGAAGAATCATTTGTCACATGAGCAAATAACCGGAGATGACTCCTGCTTGTACTTAGTGCCGGCTGTTTTTCCATCTCTCCCACCTGAGCTTCTACGATCTACTTTCTCATGGGAAAGAGTGGGTTTTAGTAGGAATTCTAGGAGGGGAACGAGGCACGCACTATCACCCCTCCTCTTGACTCCACCCCTACTCAGAAACTTTGCCCACCTTCCTCTATTTTTTTAAAGGGATGGAATATCTGATGCTCACCTAAGAGGGAGATCACCTTAAAATGAAAAAGAAGACAATTTTAGAAAGCAGGAGAGAAAAGTCACAGTTTTATGCACAACACTCTCTTGGTGTTCATTTGGGATTCTTAGAATTGCTACTTTGACAGACCCCATGGTAATTCCCCAAAGGCAAGATGCTTGTGTGATATCATACAAGGTACGATATTTCTCTTTGTTGTAAGGCAATGTCTTACAACAAAGGACCAAAATGACTTCTCGTTTAAAGGCCACCTCAGAGTTGTGAAAAGTTGGGAATTTCTAGAAATTGCTTGGAGCATGTTAGCTTTCCAGGATGTTATTTTATGAACTGACGCAGTAAGATCAAATGGTGGCCTAGTGATGCATTAACATCAACAAGTTAATTCCAATTTCTGTGGAACGTAATCTCTCCCTGGATAGTGATGTCACACTCGGATGGCTACTATGCTATCTTCAGAGCAGAGGGAAGTAAGCTGGTTTGTACTTCAAGACCCTGCAACTCTCTAGTGCTCCCAGTGTTATTAAACGTATTTTTATTAAATATGCCCGCTATCCCTTTCCCCATCCGGGCATTGCATAACAATAAGAACCACAAAGATGAGAGATTAAACTTGGGTCAGAGGCTGCTCCATTTTACCAGGAAGACTGAAGCTGTTCAGGGATAACTAATAACGAGGTATGTCAGTAGAGCTGCTGCCTGCTTTTCACGGCAAAACTCGAATCTCAGGTCACGTTTCCACAAAGGACATCTGCTCTATGAAACAACTCTTCCTTCCCATGTACATATTTATGTCAGAATCCGAACAGATTTTCACTTGATTACTAAGCATTGGCAGGTTTGGAACTCCAAGTTCAAAGCGGCGGTGTTTGCTCCATGATCTAATGAATTACATTCTTTTGCACGGGAGGAAAAAGGCGTGAGGCTGAAAAATGTGCTCACAAGGAACGCTTCTTTTATTCCCTCCTTAAATTTAAACTTTGGCAAACCTGTTTAAATGTCTTATTGCAATGCTGAGATGCTGAGGCACAGAGGAGACAAAAAGCAGACCAATAAAGGAAAAAGCTTCCTTTTCAGGAGGGACCTTCGAGCGGAGGAAAGGAAGAGGGCGGGAGTGCCAAGGGATTTATTTTGTAATAGGAGGTTGTCTGAAATAAGACCGCAAGGAAGGCTGGAGATCTGGTGGGCATCAGGTCCTGGAAGCGTTGTAAAAGGGGTGTTTTATAAGGGAGAAATCATTAAAAGGATTCACACATCCATTTGCATGAATTAGCCAGCCCGGGAGAGTGTCTGAAACGCATTGCAAGTGCTGACCTGAAATGAAGGTCACTGATTTCCCCATGACATCAGTGTGTATACGGAGCAGAGTTACATGAACAAACCTTTCCAGCCAGTGTTGAAAGATCATTGCCTCCAATTATCTGCATCTCGCCCATGGACTGGTCGTTCTAAAAAAAAAAAAAAAGAAAAGAAAAAAGGGAAGATAATATTTCACTGTACAAGAAACCTTTACAGCACATTTTCCCCTGTCTACTCGGCTAGCGGCTAGACTGTGCCTTACAAATACAGCACAAATAGCTCGTACAGATTCCTGGTTGCCCGTGGTTACCGAGAGCCACTCTCCTGCTACCGTGCTGGAGACAAAGCATTCTGATGGCTCCGGGAGGGGAGAGACCGTGTGGAGAGGCGATGATAGAAGGCGTGGAGAGAAAACAAACAAATCTAATTTTGGCATAGGAAAATGATGGAAGGTGCTCGAACCTATCCTGAGGCAGATGGAATTGGCGAAGGTGGTCATGTTCCTGGACCCCTCTGGGTGGAGGGGCTACCAGATCCCCAGAAGTGGGCCACCATTTGTCTGCTGTGCGGACAAGTCCCAGTCCTGGCCCGCAGCGGGGAACAATCAGACAATGGCTGAGCAATCAGTTGAGGACTCCTTCCTCCTGCCACACAGATCCAGCCTCTTCGCTGATGCTGAGGGCAATTCGAGCAGCTCACAGATCCAGAACCGTTGCACTTAGACCTTCACACATGAATGAAGGAGCCTCGGGAACTTTCTGCAGTCCCAGGAATATGTTTAGGAGACTTTTCAGTCCAGTTCCTTCAGAGGTTATGAGTATTCACTTTCATGGGGTTTATATATATATCGTACATCGCCCTGTGCTACTTAAACCTCACACACATACACAAAACACACACACACACACAAAACGCACACACCACACACACACACAAATCACACACACACATCACACACACACAAATCACACACACACACACACACACACACACACTAAACCAGATACGGACTGTTACATAGTGCATATCGCAACAAAATAACACGGAGGCAGAACAGGAAACAGAGCAGGCAGCTCGTTTTCTGGCCTCACTGGGAAGACACCCTACAGACCGTGGCTTCATGACCAAGCAAGAGGGCTGTCATGTTACGATCCCTTCCAGCAACAATCTAAGGGAGAAGACAATGTGTGGGCACCTTGTGCGTGATGTGCTGAACCAGGAAACATCATAGGTCGCTGCTGTGAGTGGCTGTGGCTTTTGCCAGTTCAGGGTCTTCCTCCCTTATTCTGGCAAAAAGGCCCTGCCTCTTTCACGGAGGGTGGGGGTGTCATTCATTCCTTATGGCTCAGGTGGGCTAGGCCTTACCTATGTAAACCAGCTATGCCTCAAGCTATACCCAGCCTTGGCTCTTCCAGCTACCAAAGCCAATTCCTTCCCTTAGGGATTTTCTTGCGTTGGGTTGAATTGGACTCTATCACTTGCAACTGGGTCTCTATCTAGGCAACGAAATCGGTCATCTGGGAAGGTGAAAAGCAGCCAAATAACCAATATAACAGTTTTTCCAATGAAGCAGCTTTTGTGTTTTTACCTTACTGCTCGAGAGGGGGGAAAATAACCTGAAAGTGTTTTTACTTCCACTCGGTAAAGCACCCACTCTGTGCCGCAAAGGAGTAAAGAGAATGCCCGCCACGTAGATAAATCCAATAATATTCTTCTCATGGGAACTGATCTCAAAAGGAGAAAGTTGAAGAACATCCAGAATTTACTGATCTTTTGCTGTTTTTGAACAGGCATATATAACCATGTATTCATAAGCAGCCATGCACTAGGTTAGGAACTTGTCAAAAATGTCAAAGGAGGGACGCCTGGGTGGCTGTCAGTTAAATGTCCGACTTCAGCTTGGGTCAGGATCTTGCGGTTCGTGAGTTTGAGCCCCGCATCAGGCTCTGTGCTGACAGCTCAGAGCCTGAAGCCTGCTTCGGATTCTGTGTCTCCCTCTCTCTCTGCCCCTCCCCCACTCTGTCTCTCTCAAACATGAATAAATATTTAAAATTTTTTTTTTAATGTCAAAGGAGAAGATTCTCTTGCCACTTCTAGAGGTGCTGAGATATAGGAGTAAACACAGGGGGAATTTCTGCATATTAGACTCAAATATGTTTCAATAGCAGCAGGAAAAATACAAAAATGTCTGTATTTCCAGGGGACTGAGGTATGCAGAACTGGATGCAACTACTAAACCACAAGTTAAATGTAACAAAAGAGATTTACACTCTGCCAGATCAGAGCAAACTTCATACTAATTCTACTATTATCATCTCCATTCTATTGATCAAAAACAACCATAAAAAAAGATACAATATATCTGAAAGCTAAATACTATGCTATAAGTCACACATTTGGCATGCTGCCAAGCAAGTGTTATTTCAGAAGGTTTTACTTAGAGAACAAGTTTATAACATGTTTCTATTATTAGATCTGTCCTTACCTCACCTGGAACTTAGGTCTTCCAAGTATGTATGTAATCGATGGTCCCAATACCACTTATTAAATTGTTTCTTCCTAACTGGTTGGAAATGTCATTTTTATCATAGCCTTCATTCTCCTACGTGAGGATCAGTTTCTATATTCTTCTGTTTCATTAGCCTAAAATGTCTATTTTGACATCTAAACCATACTGTTAAACTATTATAGCTTTTTATTATGTTTTGATATGTGGTAAAGCAAGTTCCATTTTTGAGTTCATTTTTTAAAAAATCGTCTTGGCTACTTTTTTTTGTCTCAGCTACTTGAGTACATTTATTTTTTAAATTAAAAAAAATGTATTCGTTTTTGAGAGAGAGAGAAAGAGAGAAAGCAGGGAAGGGGCACAGAGAGAGCAGAACACAGAATCCGATGTAAGCTCCAGGCTCTGAGCTGTCAGTGCAGAGCCTGACGTGGGGCTCGAACCCACAGACCATAAGATCATGACCTGAGTCAAAGTCGATGCCTACCAACTGAGCCACCCAGGCACCCCTATACCTTTACTTATTTGCCTATCTGAGGGGCTGTTATGAGGATCAAATGAATTCATATAAACTGAACATTGAGAACAGAGCCTGTCTCAGTAAATGCTGGATGTGATTCTCCCTCCCTTCTTCTGTCCCAGGAAATGGTCACTCCTCAATCCTTTCTGGTACACTGGAGTCTGGGGCTCGCCTAGTTTAGTGACTCCAGCAAAGGAACCTTTGGTGGATGAAGAAGGGCGCGGAAGGACCATCCTCTCCATTCATAAGCACCCCAGCACCCTGATGCTTTAGGCCATTCCTTCTTTGCTCCATCTTCTCAGAACCTAGTGACTAACTTGTGAGCCTTTCAAGAATTCTGTGGCGTGAATCCTGTACTTCTCATTGACAACTCCCTCCACAGGCATTTGGATTTTCACTTTCACTCTTCAGCTGAGTCAGTGCCCCTCCTTAATCAGTTTTGCCTCTGAAAAACCACTGACATCTCTTGCCCACTGAGGTTTTCTCTCCTTTTCCTTGTCCTCATGGGGATATACTTCATTCATTTCTTTACTGGCATTTTGGTGGGGTTTCAGGGCAGAATAGAGCTAACTGTATGCATCCAATCCACTCTGTTTAACCATGATATTTTTCTAATGGTTCAAAAGCATCCTTATAGTCTTAGGATCGATGTACTTTTTTTTATTTTTATTTTTATTTTTATTTTTTTTGAGAGAGAGAGAGAGAGACAGCCTGAGCAGGGGAGGGTCAGAGAGAGAGGGAGTCACAGACTGAAACAGGCTCCAGGCTCTGAGCTGGCAGTCAGCACAGAGCCCGACGCGGGGCTCGAACCCACGAACCGCCAGATCATGACCTAAGTGAAAGTCGGACACTTAACCGACTAAGCCACCCAGGTGCCCCTCGATGTACTTTTTTTAAAATTTAATATCATTGGTTTTGATTTGATATTTTACTTGCGATTATTAATCTTATCTTCATAAGTAAGATTGGCTTATAGTTTCTTTTTTCTTTTTCACTCTTTATTTATTTTTGAGAGTGAGAGAGAGCGCAAGTGGGCAAGGGGCAGAGAGAGACACACACAGAATTCAAGGCAGGCTCCAGGCTCTGAGCTGTCAGCACAGAGCCTGATGGCGGGGCTCGAACCCACAAACCCTGGAGATTATGACCTGAGCCGAAGTCAAAGCCAAATCCATTGAGTCACCCAGGCACCCCAAGATTGCTTTATAGTTTTAAAGCAAAGTTCTATTAGCCTCATATAATGCATTGGGTGGTTCTTGATCTTTTTTCTATGCTCTAGTAGAGTTTGTATACCAACGGATCCATCTGTTTTGCTAAGGTTCAGTAGGGCTCAGCGTGGGTATTATTTAATTTCCAACTTACAAACAAGGAATCTGAGCACTGAGTGTTTAGGTAACTTGTCCAAAGAGGGGCTGCTAATTGGTAAAGGGACCCAGTTCAACCCAAGGTTTCCTGGCTCCTTGTTACTCTGGTGTAAACTACCCCTGGCCCACGCCCCAGTATCCCTAGAAGAGAGAAGCACATAATTGGTCTTTTGAGAGGAATCTGAGAAGGGGTAAGCCCCCTTATACTAACGGAGTGAAATACATAAGCTGACATGGCCAAGGGATGCCAACATCTTGGTAGAAATGCCAGCAGCAGTTATGTACATTTAAAGAGTCAAGGAAATCTGTGACATTTAGTCCAGGCTTCCTTGGGAGAAATATTCTGGAAATCACTAGCTTAGGTGACCTTGTCTCCAGGCACAACAAGGGCATGCCCACACAGACCTGCAGGTGTGGCCATTCATCCTAAGGAGACTTGGCACTGCTTAGATAACATTTAGAAAAAAAGCATTACTAACATAGAATAAATATCCTGAATTCCTGTCCTTTTGAGGAACCGGAAGGGGAAAAGTAAGGAAAATAAACAAACAAAAGAACCACTCTAAACCATTCATTTCCAAAGTCAGAGACACTTGCTTCAAAATCTGTGCACACAAAAGCTTTCCGAATATTCTCAGCTGCCATCAAGCCCTTAATTTTGCTTTTCCCCAGTATTAGCCTGATCTTTCCTCTCAGCTCTTCTGTGCTCAGTAAGGTCATCGATCCTATATTAAACGGATAGAGTGCAAAACAAAAAACAAAAAT